TTTTTAGAACATTAAAACAGTAATAAATATTGTGAAACTGCAATTCTATCTCATTTCAAAATCAAAACTGAGATAAAAGCCATTAAATTTAAATATTTTCAGCAAACGGCAAATACTTTATGTACTCTGACTGGCTGCAGAGATAGATAATAAGCCAAAGAAATTATATTTGAACAGAAATTTGATGAGACACTCCTTTAGAAACCTCAAGCAAATGAAAGCTTCAGAGTTGGTAAACTAAACTCAACAGTATCTTGAAATAATTTGTGTTTTAGTACATTTTATTGCTTTTCTAATTTCTTTTTTTTTTCTTTTAATATAAAAGATAAATGCTTTTTAATGTATTTGAATTTAATTTTAGTACTTTCCCTAAAAATTTATATTAAACTCATAATTAAATGTTTATTTGTTGTTGTTAAATGTCACAACAATAACAATAAACACGTAATTGCCAAATGAAACTAACTATTTCGTTTATTAAAATTTAATAACTTAAAAAATAATATTATTTTTTATATTGTCTATTTTAAATAATAAATATTTTTTTTTAAATATATTACGCATACCTCATATAAATGTTAATATTTGTTAATATTAAATATATTTATATCATACATAATAATATGTAATAAAATAAGTAACACGTATAAAGCATAGTTTTCAAGTCATAAGAAGTAAGAAGGGTGGGAATTTGTAGAAACCAGTCCAACTATCAAAGAGTAAAAGTGCCCAGATGCACTAACTCGAAAAAGACTCAACATGAACATGAACTAATTAACTTTATTATAAATAGCATAATATATACGAATAATTAAATCATTAACTAATATATATTATGATAATGCTTTACTCCTCTCCTAATGGAGCATAGGGCCTCAAGATATACAATAACAGTTTTTATATCTTATCAAATTTTGTAGCTCATTTTAATTTAATTTTTAATTGCTATAAATACAGTGATTCCATTTACCTTTCTTGGTTCACTGTGTAGCAGTACAAATCTTCAAGAGCTTAAACTGTCTTGAATCTTTTGCGGAACCTAATATGTTCTTTAGAGTTATGATTTAGATAATATACGATAGAAAATAAATTCTTAGAATGACAAATCTGCATCTTTGGGCATGTGTTTGGCTATTAAACAAATATGAAGCATTTTTAGAGACGAGATTCTGATTTTTACGCGATTTAAAAACGGATTGTGAAAAATTTTAACAACACATATCACAGTCTCAGAAACTTCTTTTAATATGCTATATGCCATATAAATCTTGATTCGTATAACATTAAAAAATATTATTATTAGTATAATAATAGTTAATAAAATTATAATATTAATATAAGAGTTATAAATTTATAACTCGAGTATGGAACCATAAATTAATCATGATATCGTAATCATAATAGTATAAAAAATTTTTATATCGAATAACCAAATGATGATTAATAACTTCTAGATAGAATAAACAACTTTAAAACGTGATCTATGAATTCCAGCTATATTATCGTATAGCGTTGTAGAATTAATTAATGAATTTATTTAAATCGCTGCCCACAGAACATCAGATTCGTAATTCTGACAATTACAAATTAGGCTTGATAAGTTCATTTATCTTATTTTTAGAACGATGTATGCGGCCTGCGGGGTTAGGGAAGAGTCTTTATGTTAAAAATTAGATAATGAGTTAGACTACGGTTATTATTTAAAATTCTACATATATAATACATATTTTTACAATTTAGTAATATTATAGAGTTAGCTGTAAATTCATTTATTAGTATTGAAAATTGTTTTTATATTATCATTTATTTTCCAGATATAATTAATGTTTAATTTATCTTACCTCTTTTTATTAAATTCAAACTTTTTTGTTTATTAAACTTATCTTATATCTTATAATCTTATTAAATTTATTTATTTTAAATTATTAATTTAAAATAAACAAAAAAAATAAAGGTTGAAATCTGGCAATAATCCGTTATTGCTTTTTTAGAGCAGAACGTAAATATGTTGAAGATCACATATAAATAGAAGAAAGGTTGTTGTCCATGGACTCTGTTTTTATTAAAGAAATATTATTCTGGACTTAGTTTTATAGGGAGCCGGAATAGATGTCCTTCTTTATGTGCTCCAACTGGGCTATGCCTATGAAGAGTTCATTAGACTAAAAATTACAACAAAACCAAAAAAAAATTATAGTTTATTAAAATCATATATACAACCATCCGTTTTTAGTCTCAAGTTCACGCTAGTTGTCTAATATCCAATTCTTAAACGTTCATTAAAACTTTTTACGTTCAGACACTTAACATAGTAAGTTAAAAACTTGTCTGTCACAAAGTCCATTATTTTTTTTTTTCAATTCTATGCTATGCTGTGGCAAATATCAACCTAAATACATTAATTATTCCTCAAAATAACACAAATTTTTGAGAAATATTTTTATGGCACAACCTGTACGTGCTCCACCAAATACGTAACTTTGAAAATGGAACAAATGGCCTGCAAGACCAGCTTGCCAAGTGCCAAGTGCGAAGCCAATTAGCATTTTCTTTATTGTTTGTGAGGCAACTGAAACTGAAGAATCTTCATTTGAGTACAGGAAATCTGAAAGCCAAACTTGTTTTGGAACGTCGTTATTGTCGGCATATTATTAACTATTAGCCATCTCCATCTGCTCTATCTACGACCGTTTGGATGTGCGTGTGTGTGCCTAGAATTCTGTAATATCTTGTCACTAATAGGCAATGAGTTCTTCATGCCACATGCCGCTTAGATTGGAATTACAAGTATTTCAGGTCTTTAGCTTAACCATGCATGAGCATTTTATATGAATGATCTTCTTCTTGGTAGAATGCGAAATGCTAATCGAAATGACTTTGTTTATTGGAGAAATGTTAACGCAACGGTTAGTGTTATGGATTACTAACTTGTTGTTGTTGTTGTTATTACTGCTATTATGGTAACTTCAGAATTGGAATAAATAGCTTCGTTATGTCATTAGTTGCTTTCTTATTGTTACTGCTCTACGTGTATATGGTCTTATGGTCACTCTACCGTTATATTGTGACGACACTGACACACATTTTTTCCGATTTAATTGTATACTCGTACTTCACCTGTTGTAAATTCTTATAAACAGGGTGATTCATAGCAAACTTTCACTTCATATTTTTATTTTTATTCAAATTGAAGAAATTCCACTGTAATTATTAACAATAAATCAATTGTGTATTTTGCTTATAACTTTAAGTAACTTTAAGAAATAATGTATAAATGTATTGAATAATTCAGAATGTCAATGAAAAATCTAACATTTGATTGTTGAGAATATAAAATTAAATAAAAATTTTTATAATCAATTATAATCAATTTAAATACAGATTTTAAAAAATTTAAGAATATAAATTTAAAAATTTACATTTTAAAGAGATTTATTTGTGAGAAAATCTTTAGAAAGTTAAGCTTTATTAATTTTTATTTCTAAAAATGTTTTATTGCATATCAAACAAAAAAGTTTAATATATTAAATTTAACAGAGATTTAAAGAAATTAATAAAAAATATAATCTATAAATCATATTGTGTCATTTTATTTATTATCTTACATTTTTTGTTAAGCATAGATGCGTGTTTCAATACTCGACGATACATAGTAAAGCTAAGCTTGCTTTGAAACGGGAATGAGAATACTAGTTAGAACTAGTAATTACTAATTTTTTATTATGTTTAATTTTATATTGGTTATTATCATATGTTGTCAATTTGACTAAAGTTACAATGATTTTTAATGGTAGTAAGGTTTATCGAGGAAAACTGAAAATTGATCCTGCTGGGATCATGCGTTACCACAACGGTTTATTTTTTCCATAGTGTATTTCTTTCGAAGTTCTTAAAATTGTCTCACGTACCAATCCATCTAGATTCTACCATATATTAACGTGATCTATATAAGATAGAAGTTATCTATGGAAACATTTGTTTGACGTTACTTGATTTTTATACTGCAGCTTACTTCAAACATCGTCTATCGTTCTTTTTAGCAGTGTTGTTAAAGTCGTAGCTATAACTCCCACGTATTCTTGATAATTTCAATACTACGATTATTCGTTGTTATTAGTTGTAATAAAATTATAATAAGGTTCAGGTTAAGTAGCTTTTAAACAAAATTTAGACAGGCAGACAGGTTGTTAGTAAGAAATCTGAGATAAGCCTATTAGACCATAGTTAATCCTGTGAAGCAGAGTATAGCAACCATAGTCAGTCTTATCTAATTATACTTTAAAAACAGTTGACTATCGATAGCAAATAATAACAGCAACAAATAGAAGCGTATCCAGAATTATGTAAGCGGCGTCTATACTAAGAAATATTTCTTTAGTACGAATAACGTATTATACCTATGTAGATTATGTTGTCATTCGGGGCATCTATCCACACATTTATTCATTGACTGGGCCACTTGTGACAAATCGATTACTTAAAATATATTTATTAATTACGTCAAATTAAATTAACAATATTTTGAAATATAAAAAATTAAAAAATAATGTTAAATAAGTTATTTACACTAAAATTAATTAAAGTTATTAATATATACTTAAAAAAATAAATATAAAGATTTTTGGAAAAAATTTTTTTATATAATATTAGATATTTTTAATAGTTCAAAAAAGAATTTCAATATGTACTAAATGAATATAAATTATAGTAAAAATTACTTACTAATATACATGTGTAATATGTATGAAATATAAAATATAAACAGGTATTAGTGTTAAGAAAGTTTTATATAGACTAAACTTATTAAATTTGTTAACACTTTCTTAGTGCTAAATTTTTTACTTTTAACAAAAATTTAACAACTAAAGATGCTTTACGAACTCTAGTTTTACTAACACAAAATTGATCTAGTTTTTTTTTTGGAATATTTAAATCATGCTTGTTTACTAATTATAATAATAACATTAAATTTCTTTACAGACTTAGACAAGCTATGTCTTTTTAATAAAATATTGCAGAATAAGTCGTAAGAGAAACGTATATGAGAAGTTAAAGATGCGAAAATATCTAACAACAATTTTAACCATTTATTTGGTTTTATTTCTACCACATATAGCACACAGTCAGGAAGATTCACTGGCTGGTAGTTTTCTATCAGGTATTTTTCAACTTACTTATTACTACTTATTAATTAAACTATTGTTTGTAATATGCTGATTCTCGATTTCCTACTAATAGGTCTATTAGATACAATAACAAGCACTGCAGATTCGAAAGATTGTCCTGGAGTTTGTGTTCATACGCTAGCAACTCTCATTTGTTATGAAGTGCTGGATGATGTACCATGTCCATCACCGAGCATGAAATGTTGCATAGAAAGTGCTTCAGGTAGCAAACATGTAATATCTTTTTACTACTTGTATGACATTTATATTCTTTTATAGGTAAAAATGCAACTTTACCACAAGTAACTACAACCACAAGTTCCACAACTACCACAAAACGACCTACAACTACTACAGCTAAAACAACAACAACTACAACAACAACGACTACAACTCCAAAGCCCAAAACGACTACCAAAAGAATCACAACAACGGTTTCTACTACAAAAAAAGCTGTTATTACCAAGAAACCATCAAGTTCCACTTCAAGCACTACTACAAAGACTGCTGAAGAAAAAGTAGTTGATAAAAATAGTGAGTACTTGTGAAGCAATATCAGTAAATGAGATTAAATTTAATTCAAGCTCCATTGTTAATTATTTAGAAGACAAATCTTATTTTGCAGTACTATTTTGTTTTTGTAGTAGGTAGCTTCGAAAGCCAAACCCACTAAACATACCTCTTAAAATAGATTTCATATTTAAAAGACTTACTATTTATGTAATTAAATTGTCTAATAATAATAATATGTTAGGCTTTATAAAAAGGTTTCTTAAAATTTAGTTAAGTAAAGAGGAACTTTACTTTATAAGAGTAATTAATTTTAATAATTAAAATAGAGGAATAGCTATTGAATCTGAAGAAGTTCAAATAGTAATTGCCTAATTCTAAAGAACTGTGACATCTAATATAATATATACTAGCAATTACAGCAGTAATTATCTACTTTTAAAATTAAATAGAAAATATTGTTAGGAAAATAAATGTTATAAAAGTTTCGCTTAATAATTTAGAAATCTTACATAAAATAATATCCCCCTAAAATTTCAAGTCCTTGAACTAACCAATTTAATATTGTTTTACACATAAGATTATTATATGAATTATATAAAAATTTTTTTAAGATGAGAACTGTAGTGGCGTCTGTGTGGCGGACCGCATTGCTGAGTATTGTGAAGCCTATCTTACCTCAAATGGACTCTGCAAAACTGGTACTAAATGCTGCGTATCGTTGGATGAATATCAGAATGGCAAACTACCTAAAGATATTTATATACCAGCAAGTTAGTATTTTCAAATAAAATAGCATAAGAATTATTAATATTAAAATATTTTATTGCTATAGAGCATATGTCCAATCTAAATAATCAGCATTATAAAAATAAAACGTTAAACACAACAAAACAGACGGCAAATGTTAAGGTAGATATATATTTAAATAACTAAATGAAGAAATTACATCATATTTTTTTTTAGCAAACATCAACAACAAGTACTACGACTTCTACTACTACAACAACTACAACAAGTACTACTCCTGAACCCGCCCGAACTAAGACTAACACCAATGCGAGTCACAACAAACCAATAAAGCATAAAAAATTACAATCCACAACTACTGAAGCACCTTCTGAAGAAAATGAAGCTGAAGACGATGACAGCGAAAATAATGAAAATGATAAAACTGAAAATACGAATGGTCAAGTACTGAAGGAATGTGAGGGTGAATGCATGAACGGAATTTTCGCAATATTTTGTGATGATATCGACTCAGATGCTTTTTGTCCCGGTGAAGGTACTTGTTGTGTAACAGGAACCCAATCTGAAGTAACCTCACCAGCTACAAAAATAGTCTCACAAAAACCAGCTACAAAAATTTCTACAAAACCAGTGCCGAAACCCGCACCTACGCCACCGCCCGCACCACCTTCACAATCTGCCGGGAATGACTTATTTTCACAGATTCTCTCATTTGCCGAGAATACACTCACTGGGGGAGCAAACTCACCACCACCGACACAACCCCCACAAACACAAACTCCACCACAAATACCGCGTTGTCCAGGCTTTTGTTTATTGAATATAATGGCGGCATTTTGTGAAAGTCCTTCAGTGCTTATTTCTACACAAACCACTTGTTCGAAAGGTTCAATCTGCTGTGATAGTTCGAGGTAAATTAATTATTAATATAATTTACTTTAAATTTTTATAGCAATAATTTTAATATATGATGGATAACTTTAATATAGAGCTGGACCTTCAAAACAAAGGCCATCGCCATCTACACCAGCTCAAAATCGGCGTCCTCCTCCTCCACCAACATCTATTGCACCAACAGCACCACCTTATGTTGTACCAAACACACCATTACCCGATCCGCGTGAAGAGTGTCCAGGTTCTTGTATCGTTAGTTTACTTAGTTTCACCTGTTTTAGTAAGTGTCAGCAAATCCTTAATAAAAAAATTAATAATAAATAATAATATTTTTTAAATATTTTATAGAAAACGCTGAAATGACCGATCTCTTTAAATGCAAACGTTCTGGACAGACTTGTTGTGCACCCAAAAGCAAAATAATTGAAAAACAACAATTCCAAACACGTAACGACACATCTTATATGAATTATCCACCACCACCGATGCCACCTCAACAATATCCGCCACAAGGTCAATATCCACCACCATATATGCAACCTACACCGCCACCACCACACCATATTTATCAACAACCACCCCCAATTCAACAACCGAACTATGATTATCCACACTATGGTCCTTCTGGTATTGGTAAGAAAACATTTAGTTTTATAACATTAACAAATTTTATAGAAAACGTTTTGCATTTTCAGTCGTACAACCACAAGCGCCCGTACCACAACCAATACCGACAACTACTACAACCACAACAACGACTACTACCACACCACGTCCACACGTGTATTCTAAATATGTTTGTGGCGTTAAAGGTACTTTACGTAGTGGTAGACAAATCCGTACTTCACCTGCTTTATCTTTCATAACATATACACGTGCAAAATATGGCCTACAACGGTCACCACGGCAAATGTCTGATTTTATTTACGATAGTGGTATTAATAAATCTACGGAACGTTTAATACTCGGTTCAGATATTGTGCCAATACAAATTCATAACGATAAAATTGGTGATCTAACACAGAGTAACTTTGCAGAATCCAATCAGGTACGTGCTTATCAAGATGTATCAGAATCATATATGGATGCGGCAGCTCAGACGCTTTATGAGCAATCTGCAACTGTCATTGCTCAACCTATGTACAGCAATTACAGTAGCAGTCGCAGGCGAGCACGTGTTGTGGGTGGAGAAGATGGAGATAATGGTGAATGGTGCTGGCAAGTAGCACTCATAAATTCCTTGAATCAATATTTATGTGGTGCTGCGCTTATAGGTACTCAGTGGGTACTCACAGCAGCACATTGTGTCACAAAGTAAGTAGCGGTGTTTAAAGATCGTCATTGTTAATACAATTATAAAATTTTCAGTATTGTACGATCTGGTGATGCCATTTATGTGCGTGTGGGCGATTATGATTTAACAAGAAAATATGGCAGTCCTGGTGCACAAACATTACGAGTGGCTACCACATATATACACCATAATCATAACAGCCAAACACTTGATAATGATATAGCATTACTTAAATTACATGGTCAAGCAGAATTACGGGATGGCGTATGTTTGGTAACTCGAATTCATTTTTAACAAAAAAATTTATTTTTATATATATTTTTAAATTTTCTATAGGTATGTCTACCTGCTCGAGGAGTCAATCACGCTGCCGGTAAACGTTGTACAGTAACAGGTTATGGCTACATGGGAGAAGGTAACTTAATTCACATAATATCAACATTTTGTGCTAATATAAAATATATTATTCATTAGCTGGTCCTATACCTCTGCGGGTACGTGAAGCTGAAATACCTATTGTTAGCGATACTGAATGTATACGTAAAGTAAATGCAGTGACAGAGAAAATCTTTATATTGCCTGCTTCAAGCTTCTGCGCTGGTGGTGAAGAAGGAAACGATGCTTGTCAAGGTGATGGAGGCGGACCACTTGTTTGTCAGGATGATGGTTTTTATGAATTGGCCGGTTTAGTTTCGTGGGGCTTTGGTTGTGGCCGAATCGATGTGCCTGGTGTATATGTGAAAGTTTCTTCGTTTATTGGTTGGATCAACCAGATTATTAGTGTTAATAATTTATAGTTTTATTGAGAATATTAATATTTTCCAATTAACATTTTACCAGTGGTAAATTTTTATATTAAGCAATTTTCCACATGAATCCACGTACTTGTAAAATTCTCTCACAAAAAACACTAAATCTTTATTAAATGTTACTAATTTAAGAGATTTCTATGAATATGTGGTTCTTGAATAGGCAATATAGGACTGTTAAATTATATATACTATTTATATATTATATTTTATGTATAAGTATTCTTACTTCTTTAATATATATGTAGATTAAATAAAATCTTTATGGATGCGAAATTATTTTTATAAATATTTTTAAAGTTATTTTAAAATGTTTATTATTTTTTTGTTCATTTAAAAATCATTTCAAAAGTATTCTATTATTTTCAAGCTTTGTATATAGTTGTAAGCGACTAAAATAAATAAATAAACTATATATTTACTTATGTATGTATCAAAATCGAATTTTATATACATGCATTATTTAAAAATATTTTTTTAAATAGTTTCGTCCAACAAATCCAGTTAGTGCTCGGTCAACTTGAACACTCCACCGGAAACACGGTCTACCTCTACGTCTTCTTCCGCCAACTACTGCTTCAAACACCTTTTTCGCTGGAGCATCTTTATCCATTCCCACGGCATGGCCAAGCCATCGAAGCCGCTGGATGTTAATTCGCTGAATTATATCAATATCGTGATAAAGCTCGTACAGCTCGTGGTTCATTCATATACAGTAGTCGTCGCCAACTCGTAGAGGACTAAAGATCTTAAGAAGAACTTTTCTCTCCTACACTCCCACTGCTGCTTCATCATTATATCATAACGCCTATGCTTCTGCGATTGAATCTGTTATGTTTGATGGTATATTACTTATAGCTGTGTTGTTATCCTTGCTTTTACCAGTGGTATAATGATAATAATCTGCTTTTAAACAAGTTTAAGTTGAATTTCGTGACATTTAGACTTTATATAGTCAGCTCTATTTAACTGATACCCAAGTTAATCAGTTTATATTAATATTACACTGAAAGCACTTAAAAAAACATGTTTCCAAAATTCTTCAAACTCTTAAGTTTAAAGAATGCATATAACATTTATTTATTTTTATTTCCTTTCCATATGTTGTTGTAAACAACAACACTTACTCTCAGAGTCAACTATTGCCTATTGTGATGCACAAAGTTATTAAGATAACGCGAATTATACTATCCATTACTTCTGATATGGCTCTACATACTACCATTCATATTTCCTAATATACTAAATACGCTAAGTCTGTTTTTGTTTACTCTTTCAGGTGGCCAAAGTGATGGAAATGGTCTCCTAGGTATTGAATCGCTCGTCTCGAGCAGGTAAATAAAAAGTAATTGATAGATTACAATACCCGTTCATCACGTCAGCTCCTGCACATTATCGACATTTTTATCCATTGGGTTCTATATTAAAAGATATTATATATTACATCCATTGACGACAGCAAAAAGCATCTGTCATACGCAAATTCCCAGACCGCAAAACGAGTACATCATTTTCTGGCAGTTAATTGCTATAGAATATCTTCATTTATAATCAATAAAATTAGTTTCACATGCCCGTGCCACATGTTTTCCTTTATTAAATTAAAATTGTAAAATATAGCGTTTTATTTCTTTAAAATTTCACTTATCTTTGCTTTGTAATAACTTTTTAGATAACGCACTTAAATACATTATTTGCCAATAATCGTTAGTTATGTGTTTTCTATCAAATAAATAGAAGAATTATAAAGTGCATCGAAACCTTTCAAAGTAATTGCGCTTCAAAGTCCAGTCAATTAAAAAATTGTTGAATAATTTTTACGTATCACCACATATAAGAATATCGATGCAACAAGTTACATACTATAATTTTTTACTTCTCACACACATAGTGTGAAAATGCATACAAGATTAAATTACATTTAAGTCCGGGTCACTTGCGTTACCCTAGGATTCTTGTTTTAATATGTCACTCCTCTTAGAGATTCGATTTTTGAGTTCCTCTACGATACGTTTATTCCTTATTCAACAGTGACCTATTTTATTTGAACCAATTTTTTTTCTGAATTTTATTAGAGTTTCAATATCAATTGCTGATGGTTCTTCCGGGTACATAAAAAGCAGATGTCAATTTTGCAGTAATTGTTTGTCTGTCTGTCACTATATTTATATATTTCTTAGTCTTTCTGTCTGAATAGTTATAACCAGACAAGTTTTTGAGTTCTTATATTTTGAGGTATTTGAATAAATTTTTTCAAATTTTTTTAATGAAGACTGTAAATAGATGAAATTGATTCACTATTATTTTATTTGAATAAAATTTTTATAATTTGTTTAATTAAATGAAATTGGTTTGTTATTAGACCTCATACAAACTTACTACATTATATTACTATTGAAACTAATCATGATCACGATTTTCCAGGGATATTTTTGGAAAAATTATCATCTGATTTTTTAAAGCTATTAGTAGGTATATTTTTACATTTCCCATTCAGTACTGTTAGTTCTTAGTTAGCATATTAGTGAAATATTTGAACTCAATTGAGTACTGTATGGAGGCGTGAGCGAAATCTTTGACTCTATGCCGTAAAAAATATGATTTAAATTTTAATTGAATTAATTTAGCAGTGTGTTTATTTTGAATTAAATATAATCAAAACATTAATTTATTTACATTTATTTAAATTCACTTTGTAATGAGTAACATTTCAATGCCTTGCTTAATTACTTTGTGTGAATAGTGCTGAGAATGTTTTTAAATATGTATTGTAATTTGTCTTCCTCAGAAAATAAATTTGTATACATAATAAAATAGTGTTTTTTGCTAATAGTCGATTTTTACTGCATAAGGGTTCATAAAGATTCTTATAACACAAAATTAGTATTGTTACTTGTTACTTCCTCATACCAAAATTTGTTTTCAAAATATAAATTAGTTACTGAAATATAATATAAATATAAATTTCTTTTCAAAATATAAATAAGTAACTGAAGATATAACACTTATAGTAATTTAATTACTTCATAATATCAAAAATGAGCTACGTGACCTTATTATGCGGAATTAATGATATGACAGTATAAGTCATTATATCATTTTCGCGCCAAAATTTTTAACACACTTCACTAATTTTTTTTATTATCTAACCAACGTATTTTCTAACAGAAAAACATCTCATTATTTTTAACGGAAACTCTTTTAAAAAACTTAAAAAAAAAATATGTACAATAACATCCTTTTAAATATCACCAAGGAAGTTGATGCATAAAAAGACGATAGATACATTATTCTTGCATAATTATTAGATATTATATACGACGCACTTATGTATAAATATGTAAAGAAGAACGAGGATCTTAACGTGATTAGAAAAAAGTGTGCACCTAATGAGCGAAAACAGCGCAAAATCGAAAAGATTTCAAATATATTTTCAAGGGCGGAGCAGATATATTTGCTCTCTCTTTCTTTTTGCTAATTGTAAGCGCTTATGCTCTTAAAATCTTTTCTTTTTGAGTGCCATAGTAAAGTAACTCAAAGAGTGTACGCAACTTTCCAATAAGACAAAACTTCTTCACATTTCTTAATGAATTCTACATACCTACATATGTAAAGAAATAACAAATCAAAAAAACTGAGACGCTACCCTCCTCGTAAACAGAAATATTTAGAGACGAATCACACATTTTATAGGTACTTTCACGTTCAAGTATCCCTCAGCATATGCGTAGCCAGAAGCTCATGTTACTCAGAGATACAAATTCTTGTGTTGTGATTTCAGTCACAGTTCAGTTTTGTGTGTGCATTTTATCGTTTGTTCGAATTAACCCTTTAACGCGACTGTCCTTGCAATGTGTTCTCCGCATGTGTGTTAGTTACACATTTGGTCTTACCGCGTTACAAAGCTAACCGCACCGCGAAAGTATCTTTAAGATTTTTCCCTCCAAGAAAGAAAAAAGAAACGCAACACAACACACACAACTGCGACTGCCTTAGCCACAATTGACTCAAGGGTTTCAAAGCTGTCCAACGACAATTTAAGAAAACAGAAGTTCGCCTGACCTCGACAAGAACGGATGAAGAAGTTAAAATTATTGTGCATTCATATTAAACACAAGCCTTAAGCGAACTTGACTTTTAAATAAAAAATAAAAAAATTAAATAAAATTAAAAAAAAATTCGTCTAAATTAAAAACATTGTTTAATAGTGTATTTTTTATTTTTCATAAATTTAATGAAGAAATTAAAATTAAAATTAAATAGTGTACAAAAAATATAATACATTTAGTGTAGTTCTTATTGAAGTGTTTAGTTTTTTTATTTCATTTTTTTTTTGTTTTTTATTTATTTTTGTATTTAATCCCTTTTACAGTTTTAAGTTGTGTAGTTTGCATGAGTTTTTAATGTTTTTTGGTTTTTGCAATTGGTTTTTCGCAATTTCTTCGATTTTTTAAATAATAAAAAATCGTTATAAAAAAAATTTTTGCAAATTATGGAGTCCGTCACCGGAAATTCATTGTGTACAACAACAACGGCGGCGACTAGTACATCAACCCCAACAACAGTAACCGCAACAACATCAACAATTTCCGCAGCACCCACAAGTGCTGTAAACAGTAGCAGCAATGCTAATACCGGCAACACGACTTCAGTTGTAATGTGCAGTTCCAATCTGTCAAGTAGCGTTGCAAATTTACCCGCGAATCCACAAATTTTACAAGTTATTGATATCAAGCAAGATGATTCCAATAATATGTCACTGGCAAGCGCCACTTCAGATGGACAACGTTCACTCTCAGGTGCACCATCTGCTTCATCTAGTCCAATTTTAAGTCCACCTGGCAAAATATTTGGACGTAATGCAAATGGAACAAGTAAGTTTAATTATTTTTCTTTATATTAATTTAAATTAATTTAAACATAATTATTTATAAAATTTATAATGTGCTTTTAAAATACTTACCCAACTCAATGCTTTTCAAATGGCTTAGTTTTAAAACTTTTAATTATTTTTTTTTATTTGCATATTTTTAATAATGCCATTGGCAAAATTTAAAATTAAACATAATGTTTATTCATTTCATATACTACATTATTTATTATATCTCGTCAGTTATTCTTTTATTTGAAAAAGTTTTCAATTATTAGTTACAGCTGTGATTATTTCTGCTATAAGTTGAATGTGATAAATAAGGGTTAAAAATAATAATAGTGGAACACATGAATCCGCTTATAATTTTAATCAGGCATGTTGATTTTATAACTATAATGCATATATACAATTTTCAACTAAAATAATAAAAATTAAAAACAAAATAAAAAAATTATAAAAAATGAATGAAAAAATGTAAATATTAACTATTTATATATATATTAATATATATAATTAATGTACATATATATAATATTTTTTTATTGATATTAAATTTAATATTAATTCCTAATATTTTTTCTTGACTATCAAGTGCTATATTAAAATAAATTTTTAATGATTTAAAGGCATTAAGTTTTATTAAATAATTTAATTATTAATTAATAATTTACGTAAATACAATACTTCATTTATTTTTCTAATGCAAATTTTTTTATTTATTAATAAGAAAATAATTTTCAAAGTGGAGCATAAATAGAAAATTTTCTTATTTCATTTGAATTGTTATGAAAAATCAAATATTTTATTATCATCCACTTTAATTATTTTTGTATATAATTTTATTACAATATTAATATTCTTTTACATATAAAAAAGCATACTTAACATTGCAAGAGCTTGCAAGAATTTATCAGCAAATGTCCTTCTTCAACCTTAGTGTGTACTGCAAGGAACTAGAAATTTTGTAAACAATTTCCTGTTCACTTAACTTAACATTAAGTAAAAATACATTCAATTAACATTCATTAGTTTTTGGTCTTTGAATATGGTTTTGGGTAGATTCGTTCGGCTTGGTTCACAATGAAACCAAGATATCAGTGAAGATTGATACACTTTAAAACGAAATATCCCGTGTAATAAAATACTGTTGTCTCCACTAAAATTGAGAAAAAAATTACGGAGCGGTAGACTAATCTACTGAGATTTTCAATTCTATTAGTGAATTTAATTCCCTATAGTTAACTGAATGCATTGTAATGAAATATTACAATTGATCCAGATAAAGTAATAGACCTTTAAGTAAATCTAAAAACTTGATTTGAAAATGAATTCTTTTTTTTTGTAATATGTTAGCCCCCATCCAAAGTAAATTCTGTAATAACAATAATAGTTGATCGTTTATGCAATAGTGCCTCACAAACTCAAAGCATATTCTTTGAAATTATATTAAATTAAAAATCATGCATTAGTATATGTTCCGAGTTTTATAAGATAATAATGCAACCCACAGTTTCTAATTACAATTCCTGCAACGATTTTTAAGTTGTTTTTATTTAGTTTTTTGCAGTCTTTAAATCATCTTAGGTTAAAACTTCTTATAAATAATTGCAAATATGAAATTTCTGGAAAATTATCCTATTATAATTTACCGCATATTTCTCCTCTTCTTTCTAAATGATTGGAAAAAAATTACCTCTTCCTAATCAACAGTACGGTTTCTGATCTACAAGTGACGAGGATGCGCCTTTTCGGATACATTGTACTAATATAACTTTCTGTCCATTTCTACTTTTTTACTGAATGAGTGAAAAAAATTGTTCACTTCCTAATCCACAGAATATTTGTAGATGTACAAAGAACAAAGGCGCATATTATAAGTCTGTGTCATAAATAAATTTTACTTGGTATGCCCTTACCTTGAAACCTCTTCAACCTGAAACCTCATAGCAAATCAACTATTATTTAAAATCATAACAGTCATACCTACGAGTTATACCAATATATGGTAACACAATGGGCCTATAGACCTAAGTGGATTACTTGGGATAACTGGTATAACCTACCTATACCTACGATTCCTAAATAACTCTACATTAATTTTTTTTTTGGTACGATTAAAAATAAAATGATCATTTTATTCTAATTCAAATATACCTATATACGTATTAGTTAGCTTTAGATCGTCTTCAAAGAAAAATTAAAAATTTAATGCCTTAATTCAAACTGAGTTGGAGTGTAAGATTTCAATATTTTTTGTATTAATTAATTTTTAATTTTATGAACTAAAGAGCGTTTTACAAATTTTCTTCTAAAGTTACTTAGTTATGGGTATAAAATAATATAAATACTGAAGTCAATAAAAGTTTAAGTAAGTAAATACTTTTTTTTAATTTTAATTCAAATTATATGTCTTATGTTGAGTTTTGTTCGAGTTAGTGCAACTGGACACTTTTAGTATTTCTTAGCTGGGGTGTTTCTACATTGTCCCTCCCTTCTCTTTGACTAATTTATGTATTCCTCACAAACATCGCTGATTATTCGATAACTGATCTAAGATCTGTATACCGCTGCGTACGACTAGTGACTGCGGCTAGAGATTTAATAGTGCTATGTATACTATATTTAATATTTATTCTAAATTAAAAGCATAGTATACTTTAAAGTCATACGTCAAAAAATTTTTATTTGATTTATTTATATCTTTACTTATTAATACCATATGTACTCGTATCTTAAAGTATTCTAATTCTTATAAAATTCCCTTAAATAGATAAACATATTTTTCTAATATTTCTGTTATTTTTTTGTTATTAATTTTTGTTTGACTATATTGACTCACAACAGTTTGTGAAAAGAAATATGCTGTACAAAAACTATCTGAAGAAAAATGCAGTCACCCATTGAGACGCCAATTTTTTCCCTACTTTTTGTATTTACTTATTAACTGAGAAAAAAATTTATTCTGCAAATTTACTTCGCTTTCTTCAAGAATGTTTTTCGTCAAAAGTTCCATAACAAAAATGCGCCAAAAATGTATATAAAAATGAACTTCAGTATAGTTTTTAGGATGCGTTATAATATAGCAAATTTCTTTCCAGTAATTTGAAGTTTGTAATACAAAAGAAATAAGCAACTTTTTTGTTATAGTTAAATATAAAAAACAAAAAAAAAAATAATATAAAAAAATTTCAAATCCGTTAAATGGCAGCCTGTTTCTTTTTTAATTTAACAAAGCTTAACGTCTTTTTTATTTTCCTGAATAAATATATTTTATTTTTATCTTACTTTGTCATATATCACTTGAGCTTAAATATCAAACAAACAAAACCAGAAACACCCTTAAATAATTTTAAAAATTTTAAAATAATTTAAGATTCATGTAAACTACAAAACTGAAAAGTACCAATGAGCTGTCACTCCACAGTGGCAGTAAAATATATCTAAAGTAAAATATATGAAATATGTTCAGGTATAAATTCGTTACCCAAGTCAGAATAAGCTATTAGGGTATTATAAAAAAAAAACAAACGTTTATAAATGTTTAGGCAGCGTTTCTATAGTGGTGTGATTTTTGATAGGTTAAAAAATGTAGTATAAAAAATAACCAACCCTCAATGTTTTTTTCCCTCAGTAGTTACCCTCAGTAGTTCATTGCGATGAAAGATAGACATTTCCAAGAGTACAGTTTCCTTCACACAAGCGATTTAATTACAGACGCTCATTCCTGTGAATTCTAATTAGAATTCAAAGTTGAGCAATGGCGTTTGTAGTAAAATGTAAAAATTCTTGTATCTCAAAGAGAAGCTACTTCAATAGGCATAATTCAGTTACAAGCAGAACGCGCACACAGTTAAGAAATAGTAATTAAATTTAATGTTTAAATAAATATCCTTTGAGAATTGCTTATTTGTGCCTTACTTGCTTGCTTGGCTGACAACATTTCTAAGATAAAAAGCAATGCAGGGAAAACAGCACAAAAAATTTACTACATTATAAAAACTTAAAAAAAAGTTATAATATACAATAAATAAAAATCATTTAAACATTAAAATAAGCAACTCATTTTTTCCTTCTCATAATATTGAGCTATGTTTTATTGCAATATCGGCTGCGACGGCTACGACGGCAGCGCTATAGCGACATCGATTGCGCCTGCGCGTATGCATTCCAAAGCACAGTAATGGGGTTCCATTTTTTGTTGGTTCACCCTTGAAGACGCAAAAGAACCATTAGCACGTACTACCAACAAACCAACAAACCAACAAACCAGCGAACCAACAAACAGTTGGTTTGCACAATAACGCAATGTTTCACTGAGACGATTGCAATGTTATTGCCACCAATGGAATTTTGATCGACAAGAATTTCGTCGTTTAAAAAGTCTTTAATTTTCATTTAACGTATAGGAGAAATAGTTTAAAATCGTTTTTTGCTTCATTTTGCCTTTTTTGTGAAAATCATCGAAGCACTCATATTCACCTTTGGAAAAGTATCTATAGATATTTACGTTGATATAGTTTGCTGTGTAAGAACAAGCTGCCAGCGACTGTGTATATATATTTTTTTTTGCCTCCAGTTTGGTTTGGTTTTTGTTACTGCAACGGCATCTTTCCCGGCCGGTGCTCTTATACCAGATATATTCTGGTATACACTTCACATTTACTATATGGCCGAACACTTGGTATGTGGCGTCGTATGTCATTATAGCTTCCAAGTGCCAACTAAAAAGCTCCTGCAGTTTCAATTTTTTATGCCTACCTACCACCAGCCATTAGCGATTGCTGTCGTTTCTGTAAAAACAACATATTTAGCAAATGACAACAACAGCAATATTAATATGTTGCTGCAACATAACCAGCAGCATTTCACAAAAAATCATCACCTACAAAAAGTTAACAAAAAAAAAAAGAAAAAAATGGTAAATTAAATGAAAAGAAATGTGGCGCATTATTTGTGTATTAAAATCACGTCTCATTTATTTATTACTGCAAATACAATTTA